GAGGTTTTTGACCAGGCACTGGAGAAGGGGGCCAAAGACTGTGCCAGACACTGTGTCAGAGAGGTCTCGCACGGCCCAACCCGCCAGGCGGGAGCGGCCAGATCGAGGACGCCAGCGGCGCATCACCGGCCGTTCCCTGGGAGTTTGTCGGCGTCTTGGAGTGATCCCGCCACCTTGCCTGGGTTGTGGGTCGGAGTGCTCATAGACGCTTGAAGGAGTCTCTTCGGACAGCTCTCGGGAGCATCTGCGGGGCAGTGTAGGAGCCTCTGGGGAGCCTCCTGGAAGCTTCTTGGGAACTGCTTCGGGCCCTCTTGGGGGCCTTTGAGGTTTTTTTGGACGCCTTGAAGGCGCGTGAGGGCCTGTAGAGGCCATCTTCGGCGTCTTGGAAAGATCCCGCCACCTTGCCTGGGTTGTGGTTCAGAGTCCTCATGGACGCTTGCAGGAGTCTCTTCGGACAGCTCTCGGGGGCTTCTGCGGGGCAGTTTAGGGGCCTCTTGGGGGCGTCCCAGGGGCTTCTTGGAGACCTCTTGGGGCCCTCTTGGGGCCTCTTGGGGCTCTTTTGGGGTTTGTTGGGGGCCTCCAGGGGGCCTATTAGGGCCTCCTGGGGGCCTCTTGAGCCGAAAGCTCGAAATGTTCATTCGGGTACCCCTTCTGGGCCTCCTCTTGGGGGCCATCTGGGGCCCCTCTTGGGCCGTCACGGGGGCCTCTGGGGGTCTTGGGGCCCTCTTGGCCGTCGTGGGGCAGTCTTGGGGGCCTGTTGGGGCCGTCCTGGGCGATCCTTGGGGCCTATTGGGCCGTCGTGGAGCGGGGCAAAGCCGAAATGGCGTGAATGAATGTGCAAATCCTTCCAAAAACCATTTTAAAAAAATCAATGCATTTGTTTCGGGGCTGTCTTGGCGGGTGCTATGTGGAGCCCTCTTGGCCGTTCTTGGAGGCGTCTTGGGCCGTCTCTGGAGAGCCATCTGGGGCGTTTGAAGGCAGATCTGAAACCGTTCTCACAGAGTAGGCTCTCTTGGACTGCTCGGGACTCTCTTGGACAGGCTTGGGGCGCCCGTGGGTCGTCCCCGGGCAGTTTGAGACCTTGAAGGGGGCCGGCGGCAGAGTGGGGCCGGCGGCAGAGTGGGGCCCCCTCGGAGGGATTTTCAGGAGGTTTTTGACCAGGCACTGGAGAAGGGGGCCAAAGACTGTGCCAGACACTGTGTCAGAGAGGTCTCGCACGGCCCAACCCGCCAGGCGGGAGCGGCCAGATCGAGGACGCCAGCGGCGCATCACCGGCCGCTCCCTGGGAGTTTGTCGGCGTCTTGGAGTGATCCCGCCACCTTGCCTGGGTTGTGGGTCGGAGTGCTCATGGACGCTTGTAGGAGTCTCTTCGGACAGCTCTCGGGAGCCTCTGCGGGGCATTGTAGGAGCCTCTGGGGAGCCTCCTGGAAGCTTCTTGGGAACTGCTTCGGGCCCTCTTGGGGGCCGTTGAGGTTTTTTGGGACGCCTTGAAGGCGCGTGAGGGCCTGTAGAGGCCATCTTCGGCGTCTTGGAGTGATCCCGCGCCTACTTGCCGTAGCGGGTCGCGAGCACCGTGCTCATAGTCGCTTGTAGGCTAGTCGTCTCGAGCAGCTCTCGGAGCCTCTGCGGGGCATTGTAGGAGCTGCTGCGGGAGCCATCCTGGCTCAGCTCTCGTGCGTGGACTATGCTTTCTGGGCCCTCTTTGGGCGGGCCGATGAGGTTTTTTGGGACGCCTTGAAGGCGCGTGAGGGCCTGTAGAGGCCATCTTCGGCGTCTTGGAGTGATCCCGCCACCTTGCCTGGGTTGTGGCTCAGAGTCCTCATGGACGCATGCAGGAGTCTCTTCGGACAGCTCTCGGGGGCTTCTGCGGGGCAGTTTAGGGGCCTCTTGGGGGCGTCCCAGGGGCTTATTGGAGACCTCTTGGGGCCCTCTTGGGGCCTCTTGGGGCTCTTTTGGGGTTTGTTGGGGGCCTCCAGGGGGCCTATTAGGGCCTCCTGGGGGCCTCTTGAGCCGAAAGCTCGAAATGTTCATTCGGGTACCCCTTCTGGGCCTCCTCTTGGGGCCATCCTGGGACCCTCTTGGGCCGTTCCGGTCTTGGGGCCCTCTTGGGCCGTCTTGGGGTCGTCTTGGGGGCCTGTTGGGCCGTCCTGGGGCGATCTGGGGGGCCTCTTGGGCCGTCGTGGAGCGTGGGTGAGCCGAAATGGCGTGAACGTGTAAATCCTTCAAAAACCATTGAACAATCAATGATTTTTGCTTCTCGTCGCTGTCTTGGGGGTGCTCTTGGAGCCCTCTTGGGCCGTCTTGGAGGCGTCTTGGGCCGTCTGGAGGCCATCTTGGGCGTCTTGGAGCGATCTGGAACCGTCTGGAGGCTCTCTTGGACTGCTCGGGACTCTCTTGGACCGGCTTGGGGCGCCCTTGGGTCGTCCCCGGGCCGTTTGAGACCTTGAGGGGGGGGGGCCGGCGGCAGAGTGGGGCCCCCTCGGAGGGACTTTCAGGAGGTCTTTGACCAGGCACTGGAGAAGGGGGCCAAAGACTGTGCCAGACACTGTGTCAGAGAGGTCTCGCACGGCCCAACCCGCCGGGCGGGAGCGGCCGGATCGAGGACGCCGGCGGCGCATCACCGGCCGCTCCCTCTGTGAGTTTTCGACGTGGTGCGCACTATCGAACTTCCGTGACGCTGTGCTATGCCAAGTAATGAAGAACGCCTCCGGCGTATCCACCGCCGCCCCCTGTCCTATTATTGGAAGCGCCAGAGGTGTGCCGACCGATTAGGCCAAGACCTGCCAAGCTATCGGACCACGATTTTCCCCGAACCGGTTTTTAAAGCCTATCGGGGAACACGTGGTCATCTTGAAGTGTCATCATAGCCTTCTTGAGCCTTGGGTAAGCTTTGGGGCGATCTTTGGGGCTTTTTGGGCCGTCTCGGGCCAGCTTCGAGCCAACTTCGGCCATCTTGGTGGGTTCCTGGCACGTCTGAAGCCGTCGGAAGCCGTTTGGGGGGCCTCTATGGGCCGACTTGGGGCCCGCTTGGAATGCTCCAGGGCCGTCTTGGAGGCCAACTTGGGCGTCTGGGAGGCCATCTTGGGCGTGTTGGAGGCCTCTTGGGCCCTCTTGGCGCCCTCTAGGGGCCATCTTGGAGGCCACTTGGGCCATCATGGGGCTCTCTTGGGGGCCTCTTGGGCGATCTTGAGGGCTTCTTGGGCCGTCTCGAGCCGTCGGAGAGCCGAAAAGGCGCAAATGCCAGAATCCTTCAAAAACCAAGGAAAAATCAATGATTTTGGCCTCTTCGGACTCTCCTGGAGGACCTCTTGGAGGCCTCTTGGCCGTCTGGGAGGCCTCTGGGGGGCCTCTTGGGCCGTCTTGGGCCGTCTTGGACTCTCTTGGGCCGTTTTGGAGGCCGTCTTGGACCATCTCGGGCGGACTTGGAGGCCATCTTGGGCCATCTTCGCGATGTTTGAGGATGTCCCGAGCGAAACGGCCGTTTTTTGGAGGATTTTTTCCGGTCGTTGAGCACCTTCCGGGTGGCCGGCGGGTTCTGCCGGAGCCCACTGGGGAGTTCTTTTGGAAAAAGAACCAAAACCAAAACCTGAAACGTCCAGCACGCCGTGCACCCTTGCAAGCAGGGGGCGGCGGATCCAGCTGCCTACAGCGAATCCCGCCACCGTACCTCGGTTGTGGGTTATAGGCCTGGTGGATGTTCGTTGGAATCTCGTGGGAGGCCTCTCGGGGGCCTCTTGGAGGCAGTTTTGAGGCCTCTTGGGGGCCGTTCTGGGGCCTCTTGGGGGTCCCTTGGGGGTTCTTGGGGGCCTTTTGGGCGCCCCTTGGGGCCTCTTGGGCGCCTCTGAGGGCCTCCTGGGGGCCCCTTGGGCCGGAGGGCTTGGATTTTCGGATTGTGTTCCCTCTGTGGAGCCCTTTTTTGGGCCATCTTGAGGCCCTCTTGGGTTGGGCGCCTCCTGGGCTGTCTGGGGCCCTCTTGGGCTGTTTTGGGGTTGTCTTGGGGGCTCTTTGGGCTGTCTTGTAGCGTCGGAAAGCCGAAAAGGCGAGAACGCCCAAATCCTTGAAAACGCACGGGAAATCTAAGATTTTCGCTTTTGCCCTCTTGAGTGACTTCTGGGAGGCCTCTTGGGGCGCCTTGGAAGCCTATTGCGCCATCTTGAGGCCATCGTGGGCGTCTTCGAGCGATCGTTCGGCGACTCGGGGCCCTCTTGGACCGTCTTGATGGCTTCCTGGGCCGTCATGGAAGCCTTGGGGAGCCTCAGGGAGGCGCCATGGCCGCCCACCACGGACCCCGCGGGAGCATGGCCGGTGCACGCAGCGAGGCGCTTCCCGAGGAGATGGGGGCCCCTTAGAGGATTACAAAAACCCTGCCAGACAGCACTTGAGCGACGCAGAAAAACAAGGTTGTTTGCGCCGACATTGGCGCGTAAGCTGCCCGCGTAAGGTCGCGCGTAAGCGCCCTCGTCTCCAATGTGGCGTGCCGCGCTGGCGGCCTGTGTAAGCCGCCGCGTAAGGTTGCTGAGTGCCATCTCGCGTAAGACCTGTTTTTGATCGTCGCTCACTTGGCATTCTACCACGTCTCAACGTGCCAGGGGGCACGGTGGCGGATCTGCTTCCGAACCGAGGTACAGGCCGACAATCCAGGACGGGGAGTCGGGGGGCGAGCTCTGGTGGGGGTGGAACGGGGGAGGGACGTCGTGCCCAAGTACTGGTCCCCGTGGAGGGCTGCGTGCCAATATGGGGCGCCAGTTGGCCAGTGCAGTTTGTGTTGTAAGCCCCTGGAAGGCTCGCATCTGAAGTGGTTCGGTTTCGAAGGGTCCCTCTCAGGGTACAGTTGATTTTTTTCAAGTAGGCAACTCGTCAGCCTAGACAGGTTCTCCAAGAGGTTTAACTCACGTCAGCTTCATTGTTACTATTTTTATGACTATTAGTATCCTTCTTCCTCCTCCTCCTCCACCTCCTCCTCCTCCTCCTCCTCCTCCTCCTCCTCCTCCTCCTCCTCCTCCTCCTCCCCCCTCCTCCTCCTCGTCCTCCTCCTCCCTTCCCTCACCGAGGGGTCCCGCGCCAGCGGAAGGGAGGCTTCGGCATCTCTCCCCGCTTCCCCGCGACCCCTCGTGCAAGCGGCGCGCCAGGCGCATATTTCGGGCAGGAGGGGAGGATGACGACGAAGGCAGAGTGTCGGAGGCCTGGAAATTGGCACCAACACCAAGACAGGGGGTTGCCTCCACAGGGGGAAGGTGTCCTAGATTTTCGGTGTTGGTGGTAATAGTTCGGCCACCTTGGAAGCCAGAATATTACCACCATCGCCGAGATCGGGATCTTATTCCCTCGGTGGAGGCAAACCGCCGAAATTGGTGATGGTGTCAATCTCTAGGCCTGCGAGAGTGCCCTGGTCCTTTCTGTCTGTCGGTTGAGCAGGCTCTCCAGTCTTCTCGGGCGAGGAGGCACGCGTGCGTATCAGTGGTCGGGCTGCGGAAGGGGAAAGTCAAAGAGGGGCCCACCGTGGGAGAGCAAGATGCTAGGAATCGCTGGCGGTGTTCTGCTGATCGCTCATATCGTCCACGCTCCTCAGGTCAGGATGAGCCACACGGGCCACCGCTTCGCCGCAAGCGCTGGCATGGCTATCGTGCCCGGTTCCGACAAGTCGGTCGGCTGCATCAGGGTGTTCGAGCTCGTCGATGGAGAGTGGCACCAGATGGGCACAGACGACATGATCTCTGGAGCGTCGTTCGACATGTGGACCCAGTTTGGGTATACGGTGGCCATGAACAGCGCGGGAAATGTCGTATCGACTCTCTCTGGCCTGTTTGGGCTTGCCCGGGTGTGGCGCTTCAAGCACGCCACAGGCGATCGCGGGAAACAAAACGCTCTCGCCCGCGGGGGCGTGTTGTCTTGGGCCCTCCCGAGCGTGGGCGAGTTGGCCAAGAGAGGCACGTGTCGAGGCGTGGTCTCCCAAGGCGACCCTACCTCCTCCTCCTCCTCCTCCTCCTCCTCCTCCTCCTCCTCCTCCTCCTCCTCCTCCTCCTCCTCCTCCTCCTCCTCCTCCTCCTCCTCCTCCTCCCCCACCCTGCCCCCCTCGAGGGTGATCGGGGCCTTCCAGGTGATGCCCGAGTGGATTGGTTCGGAGGATCGCGGCTTCGGCGCTGCGGTGCGATCCAGAGGCGATGTTATCATCTCGCTGTCGTCGATGCATCGACAGTGCGGCGCGATCCTGAACCCCCTCTACTCCTGCCCAACTGGAGTGACATAAGCTGACATTCGCAAAAGCTGCCCGTGTGCGGTCGCGCGAAAACTCCCTCTCCACGCGGCGTGCCCCGCTGGCGGACTACGTAGGCCGCTGCGTGTGGTTGCCGTCCCTTTGTGCGTAAGAGCCGTTTTCTTGTATCGCTCATTTGCGATCACTCCACATTTCTTGCGATCCAAAGGGCCCGAGGATGGCATCTGGGAGCAGATGGGGAACGACATCCAGGCAAGGGGAAGCTTGGCGCTGAGCGCTGACGGGACGCGATTAGTGTCGCAGGCTCGTCGTCGTCGTCGCCGACGTCGTCGCCGTCGTCGCCGTCGACGTTGTCGGCGACGGAACGCGCTGAAACTGGTGGTGGGAGGGGTGAGGGCCATACCATCGGACGGGGCTAGGACGAGGATACATCCGTTCCAGAGCGTTCCGGAACGCTCTTAGAGCGTTCCAGAGCGCTCTGAGAAGGCCGCGGCGCCCGAGACATCCTCCAGTGCCGCTTGATTTCAGAGATTCTCGATTTAGTCTCACCCTGTTTTATCTTCGTCATGACTTCGTCTTGTCTTCGTTGTGCTTTCCCTCCTCTCGCTATCTGGACCCGGAAGTTCAGTCCACCCTCCTCCGCCTGGCCCTGCTCCTCCCGAGTCGGCAGCAGCGTACGTGCGCCGGGTCGCTCTTCCTCTTCTTGATTTTTCTGCTCTTCCTTCTCTTCCTGCTCCCTCCCTTCTGCCCGTCGCGCGCTCCATTTTCTGCGCCACAGTCGTGAGGCGCTCCGTCTTCATACATTTTTTTCCGTAAGCTCCGAAGGGCTGCCACTCGCGCGCTCATCTGCCCACGCGTCCTTCCGGATGCTTGGCTCCGCTGGTGGTGGTCCCTCCTCTGTCCCGTTTTTTCTCGCCCCCCTCCTTTGCCAAGACAAGATCCCTAGCGCCACCCAGCAGGAGCCTTCGCTGAGCTGCAGACTGTCCGCCACGGTTACGTCGTCTCCTCCTCCTCCTCCTCCTCCTCCTCCTCCGCCTCCTCCTCCTCCTCCTCCTCCTCTCCTCCTCCTCAGGGACATCTGGTGCGGCTCGCCCGGCAGGGCGGGGCATCTGGAGCTCCAGCCTTGCGGCCCCCCCGGCGCACGGCGCCGCGGGCCACGACGCTTCCGCCCGCCGAGGCGATCCGAGCCTGGTGCCGCCGGCGCCCGCTCGAGCCGTCGCCTCACGAAGCTTGTCGGCGGCGAGCCAGAAGTGGGAAGGGATGGGTGGGAAAGGCAGGACGGCCCACTGTGCCGAGGGCCGCCGCGCCGTAGCGCGGGTGGTGCGGTCGATGCTCAGGGCTTGCGGGGAGCTCCCTCGCCTGGGCGTCCAGCCTCCAGGGGTCGACCTGGGCGTCGCTCCAGGGGGAAGTGGGAAGGGATGGGTGGTCACCACCCACCACCCACCCACCGAAGCCGTTGATGGGTGGTCACCACCCACCAAACCACCCCAACCCAACTCGAAGCCCTCAATTGCCCTCCATTTCCAGTGTGGGGGGGGGTCGGGGAACGTTGAACAAAACACATGGAATCCGTACCCCCCCCACCCGAAATTCGGGTCAAATTCGGGTCTTCGGGTTGGGTTGGGGTGGTCTGGTAGGTAGTCGGGTGGGAAAGGCAGGACGTCAGATGTGGCGCGAGCGCGCCGAGCTCGTCTCCCCTCCTGGCCGCTCCTCCCGTGCCACATCGAAGACTGACAACCTCCCCCGCGGCCCTCCGGCGCCGAGGGTCGGCGCCGGGAGGCCCAGTTGTTGACCCCGCGCCCGGCTCTTCCGCCCAGCTCGGAGCCCGGGGCCCGGCGGGAGAACCAGCAGGCGAGCCCGGCGGCGAGCCCGGGGGGAGGTGGGAAGGAGAAGGCCTCCTCCGAAGGCTCGGAAGAGTCCCCCGGCCGTCCCAGGAGGCGCCGGAGCCGTCCCCGAAGACGCCGAGCACTGCCCAGAGGGCGCGAGGGCCTCCGAGGAGCCTCGCCGCCCTCCGAGGGCGCAGTCTCCTTCTCGCTTCCCCCCCCCCTCGCTCGGGGGCGGAAAAAAGAGGGGGGTGATGACTAGGGGGGGTGGAAATCATGGCGGGGGCCATGAGATTTCCCCAGCTCTCATGGCGCCTCTTCTTATTCCATTACGTCCCTGGCCCCCCGCTGGGCCGCGCACATGCCGCCGGTCATGATTTGCACCCCCCCCCTCTTGGACACCCCCCTCTTGGCCGCTCCCGACTCGCTCGTCGCCAGCCCGCGGAGTCTGGGAGGCAGCGCCAGGGCGCCCCCCCGCGCCGCCCCGGCCCTGCCCGCTGGCCCCCGCCCCCGCCTGCCGCGCCACGTGCCACGGTGTAAGTCGGGCACGCCCCTCTACAGGAGGAATGTTCAAAAATAGTTAGTAAACAAATAGTATGGGGACGGTGTCTCGAGTATTTTTTTGACCATTTTAGGGTATTTTTAATTTTTCGTCCAGAATCATCGGGGATGGACAGACCTCCCTTTAGTAAAACGTGGTTTAGTGAAAACGACCTGAGACCCAAACCTGGCGGGCGCAAGCCTGGAACATAACGGCCACGGCGCCCTCTCGAGAACCGAAAACGACAATTCACGAATCGACGTGTCACTGTTGGGGGTTCTGTCCACCCCCAAAACCACCCTGCAGGGGGACAGGCCCGACCTGAGCTACGACGGAGGCCCCACCCGTGGCGAGCGGGCGCCGGCGGCGCGCCCGCACGTCGGCGGCCCACCGTGCCGAGGGCCGCCGCGCCGCAGCGCGGGCGGTGCGGTCGATGCTCGGGGCCTGCGGGGAGCTCGCTCGCCTGGGCGTCCAGCCTCGAACGTATCCCTATCCCCAAGTTTGACACGCCAAAAGGCGATGACAATCTTAGGGATTTGCCTTCAAAAAATAAGGGAGTCCCTAAGATTGGCATCGTGATGAGGAGGTGCCCAGCATAGGGATAGGAATATGTTCCGGGCTGGTAAGAGCTCGCTCGCCTGGGCGTCCAGCCTCCAGGGGTCGACCCGAACGGCGTTTTGGCGATCTCGTTTCGATGTCGTGCTGCAGAAGAGGTGGGCTGGAGGCAGAACGAGGGAGAGCGAAAGCAGAACGAGGCTGCGCAAGTCTTGTTTTGGTCGAGCCCTGCCAGCCTCATGGCCTCAGGCAAGCTCCTTACGATTCTCGGCGACGAGCCAGAGGAGGAAGTGAGAGAGGGGGCGGGCCTTCCCAGCCGTCTGGGAAGTTCTCTAAGCCTTCTCCTAAGACACGGAGAACTTCTCAGACGGAGGGCGTCTGAGAAGCCCCGCCGCCTGCTAAGAAGGCCTTCTCCTGCTCACTTCCCCCTCTCGCTCACCGTCGATTCACGATTCCCTTGGAGATCTTGGGGCTGGCAGCTCCTGATGCCGCTCAGCCGGAGCAGCCAAGGCACCCCTCTGTCCGACCAGCAGGTGGACTTACAGGTGCGGGACTCCTGGAGATCGGCACGTCCTTCGCTAGCAGCCCCTAAGATGCCCTCGTACCTTCTCCATCCTCCCTCCACGCTCCTTCCATCACGTTCAGGGGCAGCGATAGGGGGGATGGGCATAGGGGGGATGCATCGACCCCCAATCGTCCGTTCATCCCCGATATGGGGCCCGATGACCCCACCTCGCCCAGGAACGTACCGTTTCGCTATCGGGGGCCTATCGCCGACCTATCGACGATGTACCGCCGGTTCCAGGTCGATGCATCCTCCCCTGTGCCAGTCTCTCCCCCTATCGTTGCCCCTCACACGCCCTCCCGTGTGTTGCCTCATCCTCCTCCTCCTCCTCAGGACATGGCCACTGCTGCCGATCACGCGACCCTTTCCTCCGCCCTGGCAACCCGAGGGGCCCTCGGGAGCCTGCAGGACCCATCGACGGGCAGGCCCTCCTCCTCCTCCTCCTCCTCCTCCTCCTCCTCCTCCTCCTCCTCCTCCTCCTCCTCCTCCTCCTCAGGACACGGCCACTGCTGCCGAGCGTGCGACCCTCTCCTCCGCCCTGGCAGCCCGAGGGGCCCTCGGGAGCCGGCAGGACCCCTCGACGGGCAGGCTGCGCCGGGCCGCTCGCCAGGCTCCGGCACGGCCCCCCCCCGCCGGGGGAGGGCCCGTGCGGACACCGAGGGCCGCGCTCTCGGGCCCTCGGGCGCCGCGGCACGCGGCGCGAGGCCCCCGCCCGGCCGCCTCGCTGTGCGCTCCTCGGCGGGAGGGCGTCGCGCTCTCTCTTCGGGACGACCGGCATGGGTACCCATCGGTCGTTGAAAGTAGGTATTTTTGGATTCTCGGATTCCAATCTACTTTGAGCGCCTTCCTACTTCAAGAGTCGGGGGGGTTTCCCTCTTCCCTCCTCTTCAGGAGGCGGGCGGAAACCCAATCTATTTCCAACGCCTTCCTACTTCATGTTTCTACCTACTTCTTTCGACCGATGGGTACGGAAAGAGTGGGTACAACGCCCAACAGCAGTTCCTGTTCATTTTGAACAGGACTCGCTGTCCGCGCCGCCGCGGCCCGTGTCCCTTTGAGACGGGAGGCCGCCTGCCCAACAGCGGCCGCTGTTTGGCTTGGGACAACATTTGCGCTGTTGGGCATTGCACCCGTTCTTTTCCGTACCCATTCCGGGCGTCCAAATCCCTCGCTCTCTTGCAGGGCCGGTGGCGGCCGCAGCGACTTCGCCGTGAGCGGCGGCAGGCCCCGCGGGTGCCTCTCCCACTCGGCTCCGGGCCGAGGGCTTCGGGCTCGCAGGGCCTCGGCGCGGGCGGGGGGACGCGGCGGCACGCCCTGCGTTTGCCCCCCGAGCCTCTCTGCGGCCCGCGTCTTCCGCTGGCGGGGTCAGCCTGTTGGCGCCTGGTGCGGCCGGGGTCCCCGCACGTGCTTGTCAGTGGCATGCTGCCCAACACCAGTCTGTTTCGTCGATGGCTCCAGACTTCGCACGGCTGCTGACAGAACGTGTCTCACATGCTCTCGCGGAGCTTCATGATAGAGCGTTTGGAAGCTCTAGGGCTGCTTTGCAGTGCACCTTCCCCTCCTTTCTCAGAGTTCCCAATATTTCAGGCCACGTGCTGTTTTTTCACTGGACATCGACAGGCGGAGCGAATGGTGCCGGAGCTTGATCGTTTACCTTCAATTGGCCGTTTTGGCTAGGACCCACCCCAGCTACGGCAGGCCTTCCACTCTGGTTGAGAACCTGCCTCTAATTACGGATGCAGTGTGAGCGCTCCACACTATCGTGTTTTTACCTAACAGCTTTTGCTGATAGGTTTCTAGTGGGGTCAAAAGAGAGCATCATGACTCCTCAGGGGGGTCTGGGCGGGTGCCGGGGAGGAGAACCGGGAATCGTTTTTCGCCAACAGTCACACACTTCGTGCTCTTCGACCTCCCAGAACTCCATTCCCGGGCCACATTCTGGAGAACCGGGAACAGAGCCGGGCTCGCTTTTCGCCAACAGTCACACACTTCGTGCTCTTCGACCTCCCAGAACTCCATTCCCGGGCCACATTCTGGAGAACCGGGAACAGAGCCGGGCTCGTTTTTTCGTCAACGTCACACACTTCGTGCTCTTCGACCTCCCAGAACTCCATTCCCGGGCTACATTTTGAGTGCCCGGAGCCAACTGTAGGCCACTTCGTGCTCTTCGAGTTCCCAGAACTCCATTCCCGGGCCACATTTTGGATGCCCGGAGCCAACTGTAGGCCACTTCGTGCTCTTCGAGTTCCCAGAACTCCATTCCCGGGCCACATTTTGGATGCCCGGAGCCAACTGTAGGCCACTTCGTGCTCTTCAAGTTCCCAGAACTCCATTCCTGGGCATGATTTTGAATGCCCGGAGCCAACTGTAGGCCACTTCGTGTTCTTCTAGTTCCCAGAACTCCATTCCTGGGCCACATTTTGAATGCTGAGGCAGGCTGATGCTGCGGCCGAGGCAGGCTGAGGCTGAGGCAGGCTGAGGCTGAGGCCGAGGCTGAAGGCAGACTGAGGCTGAGGCTGAAGCAGACTGAGGCTGAGGCTGAGGCAGGCTGAGGCTGAGGCTGAGGCAGGCTGATGCTGAGGCAGGCTGAGGCTGAGGCTGAGGCTGATGCAGGCTGAGGCTGAGGCAGGCTGAGGCTGAGGCCGAGGCTGAAGGCAGACTGAGGCTGAGGCTGAAGCAGGCTGAGGCTGAGGCTGAGGCAGGCTGAGGCTGAGGCAGGCTGAGGCTGAGGCTGAGGCAGGCTGAGGCTGAGGCTGTGACTGCGACTGCCGTTGCCGCTGCGACTGTCATCGCGAATGCGACTACGACCTCGAGAACAGCAGAATTCTACAACTGGATTTTCATCTGAATCTTAAGGGGAATGCTTTCAGATGTGCTTCTACATATCGCTGTTAGGTTGCTTTGCCGGGATAATTGTTGTTGGCTGTCGCATTGTGCCTTGAATCTTGCCGTTTCCTGCCTACTTGCCAATGTTGGCTAAATTGAGGTCTTACCATCGCGAGGACACGCGCGATGTAGCCCATGCTCAAGAAGGCTTGGGGTCCCTGTAGCAAGGCATGCTGTCATGATGAGCATTAATCCCGCCGCACGGATAGTTACTCCAAAGCATGTGTGTGCACCCCTTTTACTGTAATCAAGGGTATGTTTTCCGCCCTCCTCTTATCGCCCTGCGAGTTCTGCACATCTTGGGGTAGACCTAGGACTGGGTCACATCCATGTCTCTCAGATTCCTCTTTCCCTCCGTTTTGAAGGGTTCCAGACCATTCCAGGTCCGTTCTGGCCGCTCAATTGTCCCCACTGCGGGACCCTCGACACGGACGTATCATTGGCAAGGGTGCTGCCGAGGCTTTGATTCCAGGCCTTCCTCTGCGTGGCCTTACATCTCCTCCTCATCCTCATCCTACTCCTCCTCCTCCTCCTCCTCCTCCTCCTCCTCCTCCTCCTCCTCCTCCTCCTCTTGGCAGTGGGCTCTTGGCACTGGTCCCAGGTGTTCTTGGACGGGTGAGCTCCACCGTGCCATGTGTCTGCGGGAGAAGAAATCGCCTTAGTGCACTCTGCTCTCTGTCATGAATCAAAAGCCCTGCGCTGGTCCTGCTTGTGCCGTTTCTCTTCGTCTTTCAAGAGGACACCCCTCGCAGTGGAAAAGAATTCTTCTAGGGGCTCATGAGGAGGGATAAGGAGGGGACTCGAGACGGGCGGGAGTATTGCATTATCGTTGATGCATCTCGGGTTTACTCCAGTCCGCCTCAACCCCCCTCCTCCGTTTGAAGCTGCCGACTCTCTTCTTGGCTCTGTTTTCACCTCATCATCCTTCCTTCTCCTCCTACCCTGTCCTCTACGCACAATCTGCTAGAAGTGTGTACTTGGAATCCTCCCTGGGTTCATCCTCACCGTTTTTGGCGCTGCGCTTAGCTGCGACGAGGGGTGGGGCCCAGAAGGCCAGATGAGGACCATCAGGGAAGTGGAGTTGGACCGTCCCCTTCTCGCCTCCCTCGTCCTCCTGCCCCGAGGCGGGCTACGCGGCCACGGTCTACGACTACGACGGGGCCCAGTGGAACATGGCCGGGTCGCCGGTGCCCGTGTGGGGGACGGCGGCCACCCGGGAGAGGGCCGAAACGGCCCCCCTCACTCACATGCTGGTCGCTGAAAGTAGGTATTTTCGGATGCCCAGATCCAAATCTACCAGGGCTCGTCTCGATTCCTCCGATTCGATTTGATTCGATTTCGATGGCTTCCGATTCCGATTCCATTCGACTTGGGACTCCGATGTGGGTTCCGATGTCTCACTGGAGGTATACTTCTCCGCCGATTTCTGCCGATTCGACTCCTCCCGACTTGGCTGCCGATTTCCGCCGGTCCGATGAATTTCGATCGCCGATTCGATTTGTCGATTCGATTCTGGGCCCTCCTGATCTACTTTAGGCGCCTTCCTACTTCAAGAGTCGAGTGGCTGGCTCCCCTTTGCCCCTCATCTGTAGGCGGCTGGGGCGGATGCCCAATCTGCTTCCAAGGCCATGGTTCTACCCACTTCTTCCGCCGACCAACGGGTACTCTGGACGGCAAGATAATCGCCCCCCCTCCTTGGGTTCGAGGGGGGGGGATGGGCGCCTGCCGCTGGGGCGGGATCGGGGGGGGGAGGGGGACGGCAGTTCTGGAGCTCGAGATCCTGGGCGCGTTGAGGGGCGGTGGGGGTGGGGGGATGGTGCCATATGGAATGCGGTCGGACCGAGGTATACGATCGGGGTCGGTTCGGGGAGAGTGCCCTAAAGGTTCTTCATGCTTGATGGATGTTCTTGTGCATCCTGGGAGGGGGGCACCCTCGAGCGATTTTATAATTTGGGGTGTGTTGGTTGGCGGAGGGTCTCATATTCTTGACGGGTGTTCTTGTGTCCTTGGGCGGTGACGAGCGAGGGGGTGAAGTGAGAAGGAGGATGCCGTCTCAGCAGGCGGCGGCGCTTCTCAGAAGCCCTTCGGCCTTCTGAGAGGTTTTCTATGCCTTCGGGCAAGGCCTGGAACACTTCTCAAAACGCAGGGGGGCTTCCGAGCCTTCTGAGAAGGCGCGCCCCTTCTCACCTCCCCCCCGGGTTTGCCGCCGACACTTACAATTCTTCACTTGGACGTCTGGGTTCGCCCCTCGATCCCTCCTGCCACATGCCCGCGCCTTGGATGGGCGAAGGGGTCTCTGCATGAGAGAGCCTTCGCGGAAGAGGGGTAATTTTGGCCGCGCCCGAGGTGACCATGTCTGCGGACGGGCAGCACATGGCCGTGGGGAATTCGGGCGCGCCTTTCGCTGGGCCCGGAAGTGCGACGGTGCCAGCGGCTTTCTGTTCCGCCCGCCCGTCCACCCAGATATCCAGCATATTGAACAAATCAGTGCACGCTCGGGATTTATCCGTAACTCTCCATTGGCTTGGACACGTGCCCACAATGATCTCACGGAGCGTTGAATCAATTTTTTCCCTACCTAGGCTCTGCCTAGAAGGGTTCTTACTCGCTTGGCTTAAAGGGGCCGGACAGTGCAAACCGCCCCGGGCGGTTCCCCCAGTCCCCTGGGCGTCAAGCAAAAGCAACAGCAAAGGTAAAAGCAAACGCGCGGTTCCCCCAGTTGCGCTCCCTGGGTGCCAAGCAAAAGCAAAAGCAAAGGCACAAGTGAAGGCAAAAGCGAAGGCAAAACAAAAGCATAGCACAGCATAGCATAGCATAGCATAACATAGCGCAGCATAGCATAGCGCAGCATAGCATATCATAGCATAGCCTAGCCTAGCCTAGCCCAGCATAGCATTGCGCAGCATAGCATAGCATAGCATAGCATAGCATAGCATAGCATAGCATAGCATAGCATAGCATAGCATAGCATAGCATAGCATAGCATAGCATAGCATAGCATCACATAGCAGAGCAGAGCAGAGCATAGCATAGCATAGCGCAGCACAACATCCACCATTGCTGCTGCTGCTATATATATATATATACACACGTGTGTGTGTGTGTGTGTGTGTGTGTGCGCACGTAGGTTCCATGCATGCTGTCCGTCTGTGGGCCATCTTGAGCCCTTAGTGGGGCAGCTTGAGCCCTTAGGATTCACGAAGGTTTCGCACATAGCACCGGCCGGGAGACATGAAACCCGGCCGCTCCTACTAATGTTGCTTTCCTAGAGGCTCCAACTCCTAGGTAGGGTCGCACTGGGATAATTTACCAACCCTCCCATGTTGGATTCTCGCTTTGAATAGAGCATTGTGGTCCCCACCTTCTCCCGACTCTCTCCTCCCTTGCTCCTCCTGCGCCGCGCTGTTCCCTGTGTGGCTGCGAACTGCGCAGCTGTCGCCACCTTCGTGGGCTCCTGGGAGCCACGGCGGAGTAGCGGAGTACGCGGCTTTAGCCGAGACCTCGCTGCTCCCTGGGTGGCTGCGGACTGCTCAGCTGTCGCCACTTTCGTGGGCTCCTGGGAGGCGCGGCAGAGTACGGGAGTACGCGAATCCAGCTGGGACCTCGGAGCTCCTTTTGTGTCCGCGAACCGCGCAACTGTCTTTCGTGGGCTCCTGGGAGGCACGGCGGAGTAGCGGAGTACGCGGATCCAGCCGAGGCCTCGCAGCTCCCTTGGTGTCTGCGAATTGCGCAGCTGTCGCCACTTTCGTGGGCTCCTGGGAGGCGCGGCAGAGTACGGGAGTACGCGAATCCAGCTGGGACCTCGGAGCTCCTTTTGTGTCCGCGAACCGCGCAACTGTCTTTCGTGGGCTCCTGGGAGGCACGGCGGAGTAGCGGAGTACGCGGATCCAGCCGAGGCCTCGCAGCTCCCTTGGTGTCTGCGAATTGCGCAGCTGTCGCCACTTTCGTGGGCTCCTGGGAGGCGCGGCAGAGTACGGGAGTACGCGAATCCAGCTGGGACCTCGGAGCTCCTTTTGTGTCCGCGAACCGCGCAACTGTCTTTCGTGGGCTCCTGGGAGGCACGGCGGAGTAGCGGAGTACGCGGATCCAGCCGAGGCCTCGCAGCTCCCTTGGTGTTTGCGGACTGCTCAGCTGTCGCCACTTTCGTGGGCTCCTGGGAGGCGCGGCAGAGTAGGGGAGTACGCGAATCCAGCTGGGACCTTGGAGCTCCTTTTGTGTCTGCGAGCCGCGCAACTGTCTTTCGTGGGCTTCTGGGAGGCGCGGCAGAGTAGGCCGAGGCCTCGCAGCTCCCTTGGTGTCTGCGAATTGCGCAGTTGTCGCCACTTTCGTGGGCTCCTGGGAGGCACGGCGGAGCAGGGGAGTGCGCGGATCCAGCCGAGGCCTCGCAGCTCTGCGAAGTGCGCAGCTGTCGCCACTCTCGTGGGCTCCTGGGAGGCACGGCGGAGCAGGGGAGTACGCGGCTTTAGCCGAGGCCTCGCAGCTCTGCGAATTGCGCAGCCGTCGCCACTTTCGTGTGCTCCTGGGAGGCACGGCGTAGGGGAGTATGCGGATCCAGCCGCGACCTCGCAGCTCCCTGGGTGGCCGCGGACTTCGCAACCGTCGCTGCTTTCGCTTGTGTGGGCTCCTGGGAGACACGGCGGAGTAGGGGCCACTCGAACCCAGCTGGGACCTCGCGGCTCCCTGGGGGACTTCGAACTTTGCACCTGCCGTTTCGTTCGTGGGCTCCTGGGAGGCACGGTGGAGTCAGGGGCCACGCGTACCCATTTGAAACCTCGCAACTCCCTGGGTGGTTGCGAAATGCGCAGGTGTCGCCACTTTCGTAGGCTCCTGAGAGGTCCAGCGGGGGCCACGCTGACCCTTTTGGAATCTCGCTGCCCCTGGGAGGCTGCGAACTGCGCAGCTGTCGCGACTTTTGTTGGCTCCTGGGAGGTCCAGCGGAGTCGGGGGCCACGTGGATGCAGACGAGATCTCGCAGCTCCCTGTGAGGCTGCGAGCTGTGCAATTGTCGCCACTTTCGTGGGCTCTTGGAAGGCACGGCTGAGATGAGGGCAGCTTCGATCGTATATATCTGACGATGCGTTCTTTTGCACGGAGCGCTCATACAAATATTCGCCTCGCGTGGAGAAGACGTTGAGTATGTCTCGGGTAATTCCTCGCTCCCTGAGCGCGGGAAATTCTAAACGCCTCGCGTAACCCCACCTGTGTGTGGTGTGCGCCTTTGCTGGCGCCACTTCATGCACTTGTTCGTGGCGACCCGCGCCATTTTGGCCGCGCGGCAGCTTGGCTGCTTCTCGTACTCGTGCGTTCTGCTGCCGTCGGGCTTAGCGGCTTCGGCCACCCTGGTTCCTCGCAGCCTGCCTACGCTCCCGCCCACACTGGGCACCAATTCGACTTCCGACTGTCGGTCCTCTTGGCTGCGGCCACCCTGGTACTCTCGCAGTTGTCCGGGGTCTTGCGCCCTTGCATTGAATACTCAGCTGCTGTCCCTGGTCGCCGTTCTTCCCGGCTACCTGACGCTTCCGATTCCTTGCATACTTGCACGCTGGCAGTTCGACTCGGTTTCAGCCAGCCCCCTCCACTCGCCGGTCCGCCGCTGAGCTGCTGCGTGAGGCTCCGCCTGGCCGCTTCAGGTGAGGTTGCGCTCCGTTGCTTTAGGTGAATTTGTCGCTGAGTGCCCCGCTTTGACTGGACTCGCCGCTGGCGCGCTCGCCTGCGGCCGTTGACTAAAAAGTAACCCCACCTGCCAGTCCAGAAACGAAGCCCATATACGAACTGGCTTGATCACGGATGTGGAGGATAACACTTTGGAACGAAGGGATCGGATGGGTAAGATGTCATGCCCCAAGATGGGGAGGATGGAGGAGGAAACGGAGGAGGAGGAGGGGGAGGAGGAGGAGGAGGAGGCAGATGAGGAAGAGGAAGAGGAGGAGGAAGAGGAGGAGGAGGATGAGGAGGAGGAGGAAATGGACGAGGAGGCGGAGGAGGAGGAGGAGGAGGAGGGGGAGGAGAAGGAGGATGAGGAGGATGACAATGAGGAGGAGGAGGGCGGAGGAGGATGATAAGGAGGAATACGATGATGATGGTGATGAGGAGGAATAGTAATAACACTCATTGTACTAAAATTAATATTACTACGAGTCAGAATAGTGAAATTATTAATCGTATTGCGACTATTACTATGAATGCGAATGCTCATACTGCAACGAGGACGAAGACGAATAACACAGCCGACTAATACCACTGGTATTAACAATAATAATAATAAGACGACCACTAACATTCCTATTGCTATGAACATGCGTAACACGAACATTCATAATAGTAATAGACGGGAACCTATACCGACCATTAATAATAACATGAACAACACGAATACGATTTTTGTAATACTTTAGCGCTAAGCACACTACTAACACTAACACTAAATATGCGACGAAGAGTATTAGGACAACGAATAACAATACGAAGGCGATCAGTGTTCGAAACAGTAATACAAAGAAGACGACTGGTTCGACACATACGAAGAAACAGCAACACGAATCATACAAGTATTCATGTTAAGAATACTACCAAGAGGACTACTATTATTACGAATCGTAGTAGTACCAATACTAGCAACGCGAGTAAGCATACTAATATTACTAAGCATAGTAATACTACTAATCATACCAAGCAGAATAACAACAGTACTACTACTACTACTACTGCTACTACTGCTACCACTGCTACTACTACTACTACTAGTACTACTACTACTACTACTACTACTACTACTACTACTACTACGGCTACTACTACTACTACTACTACTACTACTACTACTACTACTTCTACTTCTACTACTACTACTACTGCTGCTGCTGCTGCTGCTACTACTACTACTACTACTACTACTACTACCACTAGTACCTCTTCTATAACAAATAATGCGAAATCGAAGCATACCAATATTACGAATGATTGTATCAGTGATAGCACTGAGAAGAAACAATACTAATAGTAGTACTAATACTGATCAAAACACGAATCGTAATATTGATAATCCAAGGAATACTAATACGACAAATAATACGAATAATAAGACAAAGAGGAGGAGGATGAGGAGGAGGAGGAGGAGGAGAGTAAACAGAAAAAGGCCAGAGGCCTCTTGGATGCCCCTCGGAATCTCGTCTGACTTCTTTCGAGAGCTTCTTGGAGTGAGTCCTCTTAGGGCGTCTTGAGGGTCTCTTGGCAGTCCCGGGCTCTTGGGTCGTCCTGGGTGCCTCTGGGGGGCCTCTTGGAGCCTCGTGGGGGTCATTTGGGAGCCTCGTGGGGCTATTTTGGGGCCTCGTGGGGGCCTCTTGGGGCCTTGTGGGCACCTCTTGGGGCCCTCTTGGGAGCCTCGGGTGCCATCTTGGGGCCATGATTTTGGCCATCTCGCCGAG